TTAGGATTTCTGGGAAAAAAAAAAAATTAGAGGAATTGGTTTTGGAAATAAACTTAATTTTGGAATTTTATGATACACAAGACACAGATACGGGGGAAAAAAAAAAAAGAGAACACACACACAAAAACATGAGAACTGGCCAGGCAGTGGTGGCTCACCTGTAATCCAGCACTTTGGGAGGCTGAAGTGCGCACATCACCTGATGTCAGGAGTTCAAGACCAGCTTAATAACATGGCAAAACTCCGTCTCTCTACTACAAATACAGGAAATTAGCTGGGCTTGGTTGCAGGCACCTGTAATCCCCCAGCTACTCCGGGAAAGGCTGAGGCAGGAGAATCCCTTGAACCTGGGAGGTGGAGGTTTGCAGTGAGCCGAGATACGGTCACTGCACTCAGCTGGGCAACAAGTCCATCTCAAAAACCAAAAGTAAGAAACAAACAAAAAAAAACCATGAACTACAAGGAGATAATTATTATTATTACTATTATCATTGTTATTATTATTATTTTTAGAATATGGTCTCACTCTGTCACCTCCAGCTGTAGTGCAGTGGCACAATCATAGCTCATCTGCAGCCTTTAACTCCTGAACTCGTGTCAGTGTTAGGATTACAGGCATGAGCCCTGCACCTAGTCTAAGGAGAATTATAAATAAAATGTGTTGATTATAATTCATGACACATGAATTATAAGGAGAGCTTATGTTAACTACCACTGAAGATTGAAGTAGACTGGCTGTGGTGGCCTGTACTAAATCCCCATGTGCTTACTTTGGGAGGCTGGGGTGGAGGGTTACTTGAGGCCAGGAGTTCGAGACCAGCCTGAGCAACACAGCGGGACACTGCCTCTACAAAAAAAAAAAATGTAACAATTAGCTGGGTATGGTGGCATGCAGCTGTAGTTCCAGCTACTTGGGAGGCTGAGGTGGGAGGATCGCTTGGGCCAGGAGTTGGGGCTGCAGTGAGCTATGATGGTCACCCTGCATTCCCGCCTGAGCAACAGAACATGACTGTATCTCCAAAACAGAAAAAGAAAGAACTCTTTTCAGCCATTAGAGAAACTTCCTTTTGTCTGTCTCAAATGCAATGACCTTCCCTCCTGCTTCAAGTACCCACAATTCTGACTTCGCAGAAACCACTTCTTTGGCTTCTTTACAGTTTTATTCCTATCCCTTACCATGATAGTTTTCTCTTGCACTTCTGTTGACTTTAACATGTCTTTTAAGACTCTTTGGCCAGGCACAGTGGCTTCGCCTGTAATCCTAGAACTTTGGGAGGCCGGCGACCCAATTACCTGAGGCCAGAGGTTCAAGACCAACCTGGCCAGCATGGTGAAACCTCGTCTCTACAAAAATACAAAAATTAGCTAGGCAGGTGCCTGTAATCCCAGCTACTCAGGGAGGCTGGGACAGGACAGTGCTTGAACCTGGGAGGTGGAGGTGCAGTAGCCGAGACTGGGCCATTTGCCTCAATTGCCCACTGCAGCCTGGGAGACAAGCAAGACTCCAGCTCAAAAAAAAAAAAAAAAAAAAAAAAAGACTCTTATCTAGAGATCTGCCTCAATTCCTTTCTTTTTACTTTATTTTTATTTTACTATTTTTTTGTAGAGACAGGATCTTCTGTGCCCAGACAGATCTTAGAACTGATCCGCGATCTACTTCTGCTTCAGCCTCATCCCTTTTTATTCTTACAGTTTCATTGAAGAGCCCAAAAGAAGTTTGACCTGCTTAGAATTCTGCAGTCTGGATTTTTACTGATGGTTTACTTTCATTGCACTTCAACTTGTTCTCCGTCTTCTGTTTTCCAGCAAAGTGAGCAGCTGGATCCTGTAAAGCTCCGAGGTCAGATCATTTGATCCTTTAGGCACCACACTATGGAGGTGGTACTGTGATCACTCTTTCCTCAGGAAGGGACGTAATGCGTCTTTGTGACTTACGCTACAAGATAAAGTTCGTATAGAGGCAGGCAAGATCAATGTTTAGATTCTTTCCCATTTTTGCCTATTTTCTTTTCTTTTTTTTTTTTTTTTGAGACGGAGTCTTGCTCCACATGCCCAGGCTTGGAGTGCAATGGCTGGATCTCGGCTCACTGCAGCTCTGCCTCCTGGGTTCATGCCATTCCTCCTGCCTCAGCCTCCCGAGTAGCTGGGACTACGCGCGCCACCTGCGCCCGGCTAGTTTTTTTGTATTTTTAGTAGAGACGGGGTTTCACGTGTTAGCCAGGATGGTCTCGATCTCAGCCTCTTGATCGCCCACGTCCTGGCCTCCCAAAGTGCTGGGATTACAGGCTTGAGCCACCGCGCCCGGCCTGCCGCCTATTTTTCAAAGGTAAGGAATTGGCTTCTCTTTTTTTGAGACAGGGTCTGCCTCTTGTTGCCCAGGCTGGAGTACAGTGTTGCAATCCCACCCAGCTCACCAGCCTTGACTTCCCTGGCCAGTTGATCCTCCAACCCCAGCCTCAAGTAGCTGTGACTACAGGCATGCGCCACCACGCTGGCTTCTTTTTGCATTTTTAGTAGAACAGGGTTTCACCATGTTGCTCAGGCTGGTCTCAACTCCTGGACTCCAGCAATCTGCCCCATGCCAGCTCCCTAAAGTACTAGGATTACAGGTATGAGCCACCGGTGCCTGGCATAAATTGGCTAATCATCCTCCAAGGTGATTGGTTAGTTTTGTTGTTCATTTGAAGTCTCATTATTAAGGCTGGCTAATGGAGTTCAATCCATGCAAGTATTGTTCCTAGTGCAGCTCAAATTTGTCCTCAGGGCTGCTGAGAAGGCCCTCTTCAAGGCAGCTCTTGAGTCCTTTGGACATAGCCATAGACATCTTAGGAAGCTCTTTGTGACCTGGTATGGCAAGACTGCCAGTCTCATCATACTTTTTTTTTTTTTTGAGACTGAGTCTCACTTTGCTCACCAGGCTGCAGTGCAGTGGTGTGATCTCGGCTCACTGCAATCTGTCTCCTGGGATCAAATGATTCTCCTGCCTCAGCCTTCCTAGTACCTGGGTTTAAGGCATGCGCCCTCGCCCAGCTAATTTTTGTATTTTTAGTAGAGACGGAAATTCACCATACTGGCCAGGCTGGTCTTGAACTCCTCGCCTCCAGGCGACCACCTGCCTCAGCCTCCCAAAGTGTTGGGATTACAGGTGCTTAAACCTTTGTAACCAACCTTATGCCTTTTACAGCTGAATAAGAGTCCATTGTGGATCCTGCATTTTGTTTATCATTCAATACAGCGGATGCACATTCAGCTTGTTTCCAATGTTTGGCTAAAGCCCAAAGATAATGCTGCTGCGGACACAGGCATGCAGAGTATCACGAGTCCCTGCTTTCTGATCTCTATAGGTATGTATCTAGAAATTTGGAATGACTGAATTTTAGTAATTGTGTTTAGCTTTTTGAGGAGGAACTATGAAACTGTTTTCCCAGTGGCTACTGCGACACCTCTTCCTACCAGCAATACAATGTATAGTTCCCATTTCTCCACACCCTTGCCAAGCCTTGTTATTTTTCATTTTCTTTTTTGTTTGTTTTTAATATTAGCCATAAATGGGAGTGAAGGGGCATGTCACTGTGGTTTTGATTTGCAGCTCCCAAATGATTGATGATATTTCATTTATCTTTTCATGTACATTTCAACCAATATGTATATCTTCTTTGGAGAAATGTCTACTCAAGTCCCTTGCCTATTTTTTTACATTTTTAATTTAATTTTTTAGTGACTAAGACCCCTTGTACAGCCCTCAGGGAGATCCTGAGAACATGGCCCCTACCCTTGCCTTTTTTCTTTTTTTTTTTTTTTTGAGATGGAGTTTTGTTCTTATTGCCCAGGTTGGAGTGCAATAGCACAATCTTGGCTCACTGCAACCTCCACCTCCTGGGTTCAAACAATTCTCTTGCCTCAGCCTCCCTGAGTAGCTGGGATTACAGGCACCTGCCACCATGCCTGCTTAATTTTCCTATTTTGGGTAGAGATGTGGTTTCACCATGTTGGCCAAGCTGGTCTCGAACTCCTGACCTCAGGTGATCCACTTGCCTCAGCCTCTTAAAGTGCTGGGATTACAGGTGTGAAACCCTGCACCGATTGATTTTTGAATTGATATTTCGTTGTTTTTAAGTCACCCAGAATTCTTAAATGTATTCTGGTTATTAATCCCATATGTACATTGCAAATATTTACTTCCAATCTGAGGTTGCATTACCTCTTTTGACAGTGTACTTTGATTAGTTCTCCCTCCTTTTTATTTTTTTGTGAGACAGGGTCTCACTCATCCCATGAGCTAGGCGCCAAGGGACCTGGGAGGAGAGGCAGGTGGGTCGTGTCTTGCCTGCAGCGTAGAGATGGCAGTGTACCTGGAGCATAGCACTCTTGGTGTCTGGCATGACACTTCCTTGTCTTCCTGGGGCCACATGGCAGGAGATGTACAACCATCATCACAACTAGCCTAACCCGTACAGGGGTGGGAGGACAGAGAAGTCAGGCTGGGGACAGAAGTGAGACACAGGGCAGAGGACTGGCTCCCCAGGGACTCACCCAGCAAGTCCAGCTCACTGGTGGCATCCATGCTATTGAGGTGATGGCCCCAAGAGTTGAGTTCTGGGGGTGGGAGGAAGTGGGGCTGGAGGCTGGAGGAGCTTACGGACGGAGTAGCCCTCCTCTCCCTAACCAGGTTGCCCAGCCTCCCCTGGAAGAGAAGGATCAGGGAAGAGAGGATCAGGGTGGGGTGGGAGCTGGGGGGGGATCTTTGCACAGTCCCAGAGGAGGCAGGAACCCTGGGAATCTCTCTCAGTACAGGCACCCCTGCCGCGCGGTGACCCCAGCCTCCACATGACCTCAGGAGCCCATAGGCAATGAATAAGGGTTGCTGGGAGCCACAGGCCCCTGCCCTCTGACATTTTCGTGTTTCTAATAGAGACGGGGTTTCACCATGTTGACCAGGCTGGTCCCGAACTCCTGATCTCAGGCGATCAGCCCACCTCAGCCTCCCAGATAGCAAGGATTACAGGTGTGGGCCATCGCGACCGCCCGATTATCATTATTATTATTACTAACTGGCCTGGTTAGTGTGGCTTGGAAAATGTTAACCATCATAAAATAAATGAATCCTTGATGATACTGAGCTTCAACTGCCACTCTTCGAATTTTGCACTGCAACTCATAGAGGGTGTGAAATTCATTCCAATGGCTGCAGCTAACATTTTGTTAAAGTGAGGCCGCCTAGAGCTGACTCCAGCTGGAGAGCGAGCTGTTCCACAGGAGGGATGGTGACGGTTCCCGGAGTGTTGCTTCAGTTACCTGAATGCGCAGATACGCTCTGGGTAACAGTGGAAGATCTACTTCTTGCTGGAAGTTTGGATGGAAAATCTTTTGGAAACTGCTGTCCTGGAACACCTGGCCCAGGTGTCAAATCCCCTCTTGCATTTCCCCAGTGGCTGATTCGCTGTCACGTTTTAAGCCACCCTTTGCCTTAGGTCCTCCATATCCCGGTCCCCACCACTGGGTGTGTCCCTAGGGCGGTGCCATCCGATGGCTTGTCCAGCGCTGTGAGACTCTCCCCAACTTCCCTCCAGTTGAGTTTCATGGGTGCCACATGCCTGTCCTGGAGCTGGGCCATCTCACACATCCCCTTGGCATCTGCCAGCCATGGTTGTGAGATGCTACAAGAGACAGACAGACAGACGAACAAAAGACTTCACGTTATCTCATGGACATCACAAGAGCCATGGAGCTCAGGCTCCATAGACTGATGCTCAGATTCCAGTGTCCCACAAACACTGAGAGTCCCCTAAGCGCCAAAGGCTGCATCCCACATAGCTCCCGATCCTCGGGGAGACGAGCAAAGTGCTGAGCAGTAATGGGATGTGCACACCCTAAGAAACATCGATGCAGGTACAGGGGAAGCCCCTGGGAGGCCCCAATCCAGTGCAGCTTCTCCCCTGTTGGGAGGCTTGGTCCACTGCTGCCCCTGACCCTGGCTCCTCTCACCTTCAGAACTGGAGCAGCATGTGCTCTGGGGGTCTGGGCTGAAGCTGCTCCCTCCCCAGCACCCCCCTTGAGTGTGACACTCATCATTGCCTGGGACTCAGAAACTGTGGTTCCCCCAAGGACAGCCCCAGGTCTTGGGAGAGGAAGGAACCGTTTTTAAATATAGTGTCCCCAGCCGCTCCCTTTCAGGCCCTGCCTGACCCTGCACCTGCCATGGCCTCTAAACAGAAGCAGCCTCAGACCACATCTTTCTGTGGTGGGAAATCTGGGTCTGGCTGGATCCTGGGGACCCTATGGGACTGGGCTGGGCCAGGTCTCTCCGCAGGTGCAGCTGGGGCTCTGACCACCCAGGCTCACCTCACCCCTTCCTGGACTGAGATGTGTCCAGGCCTGGGCAGAGGAGGCTGGGTCCTGCTGTCCTGCTTAGTGCCCTCTCTTTTTAGGGTCCCTGGTGCCTCCGCAGAGCCCTCTGGGTCCTGCCTGGCTCTCCTCCCTCAGAGCACAGGTGAGTGCCCCATCCGGTCACCTCTGCCCTGCTCCCGTGTTCGTGGGTGTCCCCCATTCTGGCCTCCTGCTGGTCAGTCCCCTGCCCACTGTCTACGCTCAGGCCTCAGAGACTCCACCTGCACCACCAAGGATCCCTCTCTCCCAGGCTGTCTCCAGAGGAAATACAGGACCACTTTCCCCAGGACCCAGAAGTGAAGGTTCTAGAAACTCTCAGGTTCTCAGGGTCACTGGAAGTGGCCTCTGCTATTTTGGCAGCTTGAAAATATTCTTCAAAGCCCAGAAGTCTTGAGGTTTCCTTGGACACGAGGCTGATGATGTAGCTACCATTATTTGTGGCCAGGCTGATGTTTAATTTTATGTGTTAACTTGGCAGGGCCACAGTGCCAGATATTTGGTCAAACATTATTCTGATGTTTCTGTGGCATTATTTTGTGGGTGGGATTAACATTTAAATTTTACATTTCGCAAATCTGTGAAAATTGAACAACAGTCTTTTTTTGAGACAGGGTCTCACTCTGTTGCCCAGGCTGGAATGTAATGGTACAATCGTAGCACACTGCAGCCTCACCCTCCAGGGCTCAAGGAATCCCTCACACCTAAGCCTCCCAAAGGGCTGGAATTTAAGTTACCAATTTCCCTCTACGTGCTGATTTATCCGTATCCTATGAATTTTTATGCAGTGGTCTCATCATTGTTCAGTTTAAAATGTCACCTAATTTTTGAGTTCTCCAACTGTTGACTTATTTAGCAGTTTCTTTCTTTTCTCTTTTTCTTTCTTTCTTTTTTTCCCTCTTTCTCTCTCTCCTTCCTTTCCCTTCTTTCTCTCCTTCCTTCCCTCCTTCTTTCTGTTTTAGAGACAGGGTCTTGCTCTGTCAGCCAAGCTGGAGTGCAGTGGCGCAATCAGAGTTGACTGCAGCCTCCAACTCTTAGGCTCAAGCGATTTTCCCGCTTCAGCCTCCCAGGTAGCTGGAACTAGAGGCACATGCCCCCACACCTGGCTAAATTGTGTAAATGTTTTGTTAAGAGAGAGGGTTTTTCTATGTTCCTCAGGCTGGTCTCAAGCTCCTGAACTCAAGTGATCCTCCCAACTTGGCCTCCTGAAGTGCTGGGATTACAGGCGTGAGCCACCATATCTGCCTAGCAGCATATTTCTTAATTTCCAAATATATGAGGATGTTCTAGTTACATATTTGGCTTTGGGGATATTTTGTGGGGTTTTATTTTTATTTATTTATTTATTTTTGAGACAGTCTCACTGTCACCCAGGCTGGCGTATAGTAGTGTGATCATGGCTCACTGCAGTCTCTAACTCCTAGGCTTTTATTTTTGAGACAGTCTCACTCTGTCACCCAGGCTGGCGTATAGTAGTGTGATCATGGCCTACTGAGAAATCTCTAACTCCTAGGCTCAAGTGATCCTCCTGCCTCAGCCTCCCGAGTAGCTAGGACTACAGGCACATGCCACCACATCTAGCTACTTTTTCTTATTTTACTCTATTATTATTATTTTTTTTTTTTTTTTGAGACGGAGTCTCGCTCTGTCCCGGGGCTGGAGTGGCGTGGTACAATCTCGGCTCACTGCAAGCTCCGCCTCCTGGGTTCACGCCATTCTCCTGCTTCAGCCTCCCAAGTAGCTGACCACATAGGTGCACCACCGCGCCCAAGCACTTTTGTAAGTTTTTTTTTAGTAGTAGACGGGGGTTTCACCGAAGCAGCCAGAATGGTCTCGATCTCTGACCTCGGTGATCCGCCCGCCTTGGCCTCCCAAAGTGCTGGGATTACAGGCGTGAGCTACTGCACCCAGCCTTTGGCTTTTGGTGCCATGCACAGTGGGGTCTCACTATGTTGCCTCAGGCTGGACTCAAACTTCTGGCTTCAAATGATCCTCTGCCGGCCTCCCAAAGTTCTGTGGGATTGCAGGGATGGGAAATGCAGCCCGGCCATATCTTTGTTATTAGGGCTGGGACTCTAGCTTTGACTTCAAAGGTGTTTAAAAGAGAACATGTGCTCTGCAAGCCCTTGAATGTCGCGGTCGGCATAAAGTCCATTAAATAGGTACCCATTATTGTCTTTCTAACCTTCTATTTATTTTTGCTTTGTGGGTTTGTTTCGTCTGTTGAGAAGAAATCATCTCCCCCAGGGACTGCTGTCACTTTATTTGTCCTGTAGCTCAGCAGTTTTTGGTTTCATATTTTTTGACTACATTATTAGATGTACATAAAATTTAAAACTGTTGATCTGGCTGGTGCTTTATCTGTTATCCCATTGGGAGACCATGCAGGCGATCACGTGAGCCCAGGAGTTTGAAACCTGAGCAAGGCGGGTGAAATCTTTCTATCTGTACAAAAAAACAAAATTAGCTGGGCACAGGCTTGCACTAGTCCAGCACTGGGAGGCTGAGGTGTGAGGATCATTCGAACTCAGAGGTCTAGGCTGCACGAACTGTGATCACATTTCACTGCACTCCAGCCTGCAAAATAGAGTGATCCAAAAAAACACCATTACTCTCCCTGATGGTTTTTTTTTTTTTAATCCTGTTGCCCAGCCTGGAGTGCAATGGCACAATCTCGGCTCACTGCAACCTCCTCCTCCCAGGTTCAAGCAATTCTCCTGCCTCAGCCTCCAGAGTAGCTGGGATTACAGGCGCACACCACCATGCCTGGCTAATTATTGTATTTTTAGTAGAGACAGGGTTTCACCATGTTGGCCAGGCTGTTCTTGAACTCCTGACCTCGGGTGATTCACTCGCCTCGGCCTCCCAAAATGCTGGGATTACAGACATGAGCCACCACGTCCAGCCAAAATAGAACTTTTATTACCAAAAAATAGCCCTATTTATTCCAGATGATACCTTTTACCTTAAAGTTGCTTTTGTCTGATATCTATGGAACCACACCAGTTTTCTTTTGAGTAGGAATTTCATGGTTATCTTTTTCCATCTGTTTACTTTCGCAGCCATTCTCTATCCTACCCCACCATTCCTATACACAGGAGCTCTTCTCCAAAAGACTTACAGGTGCCCTTACTGTGCAAGAGTCATGTCTGTTCTCCTTGCATTTCCAGCAGTTCAGTCGTATCTCTATGATGGAATTTCTAGGCCTTTTCTGTGCAATATCTGGGACTGGGATATCATTGCTGGGTGCCCCTCCACACATGCTTGCACAGACATGTGCAATGTCTGTTATAGACCATGTCAGAGAGCCATGCTGTGGGTCCCAGAAACCCAATTCAAATGGCCTCAGACAAGGAGGGAGTTACTGCCTGGCATACCTGGGAATCTTGACGTGGGGCACCTAGGGTCACCCGATCCCAGAGCCCTGCTTCCATTTCTGTGGGTTTCTCCCTGCCCTTTCCCCCCATGTGGCTGGATTTACTCATGGGAAGCCTTATCAGACCAAAATCCGAGGGGACACAGAGAGGACTTCTCCATCTTCCAGGCAGAGGGACCCATCCCTGATGACCAGGACCAGGGCCCGGGTCTGACTGCCTTCCTTGGGGCACAGGGAGGGAGTGGTGAAGTCCTCAGGCCTAGGACAGGCAGCTGACCACCACTCTCCCCTCCCCACCATCCAGACCACGGACAATCTGAGAACCAACTAGCAATCCAGCAACGGGACACATTCGGCAGAACCCTGGAAGGTACAGCGGGAACCAGGCCCACGGCCTCTGATGTCAGGGCTCACAGAAACCCAGGGGTCTCCCCACCGTGCATGAAGTGTGACAAAGACTCTCTCCTTGAATAAACTGGAGTTAGGCTCATCTAAGCCTTCTCATCTGGCTTTGACCTTGAGCTTCAGTGCCCACCTTAATTGCGTCTGCACTGCACAGTTTTAGCAAGATTCCTGCTAAGTGGGTTTAGCCATAGTCACCTACCCTCAACATCTGATCACCTTCCCTATCTGATCAAATTTCCAATCTCCCAGGTGATGTCTGATCACCCTGGCCTGCCTTCTGAGGAATCCTGGGAGGTCGGTTTAGCCAGAACCCCCCCTTAGCCCTGAGATGCTTCCTCTTAGCCGTTTTCCACTCACTCCCCCAACCCTACTCCAGGGCTATAAATCCCCACTTGCCTATGCTGTATTTGCATGGAACCCGTCTCCTACCGAGGCCTCTTCCCCACTTGCCCATGCTGTATTTGCATGGAGCCCCGTCTCATACCAAGGCCTCTTCCCCACTGCAGTAGTTCCTGATAAAATCTGTTTTGACCGTTTTGCTACTGTCCAGTTGTGGTTTTCTTTTTTATTTTCTTTTTTTTTGAGACAGAGTCCTGCTCTGTTGCCCAGGCTGGAGTGCAGTGGCGCAATCTCAGCTCACTGCAACCTCCGCCTCCCAGGTTCAGGCAATTCTCATGCCTCAGTTTCCCAAGTAGCTGAGATTACAAGTACCCATGGCCACACCTGGCTAATTTTTTTTGTATTTTTAGTAGAGACGGAGTTTTGCCATGTTGGCCAGGCTGGTCTCGAACTCCTGGCCTCAGGTGATCCACCTGCCTTGACTTCCCAAAGTGCTGGGATTACAGGCATTAGCCACCGCACCCGGCCCCAGCTCTGGTTTTCTGTAACAAGTTGGGAAGGCGCTCAGTGGGAGGGTTCAGCCCACAGTAGAGAAGTCTATTCAGAATTTCTTCCTTCTTGCAGGTCGCACCTGAGCTGCCCTCCTTCTGAGAACAGAGAGTTTCCAGGCAGGGACCCTACTGTGTGCCCAGCAGATGCCTAGGGCCACCATTTAAGAGGTTGCTGAGTCTCAGGTGCTGACCTGTACTCACACAGGTGCCTGCTCCCCTCACCCTGGTCCTGGGCAGGCCCAGCACCTCTGCATCTGTCTTATGGCCTCCAACCGAGCAGGCTGTAATGAGTGATGGCTGTTGCTTCCTTTCTGCCATCCGGGTATCTCACAAATTTTTTTTAGCCAATTCTGACCCCAAATCATATGGAGAAGGGGACTGTGGGAAACTTAGTCCTGGTTTAGCCAGGTAGACACAGGGCAAAACCACTCCAGCCCACTTTTGTCACTGTGGCATTTTCTGCACACTTCCTCTAACCAGATTAACCTCCAAATAAAGCCAATAGCAACACCATGCTTCTGCCGAACATGATGCAATGATGCAACTACATTCATATAACCCAAACAGGCTAACCCTCCCACAGAAGGACTCAGGTCTACAGATCACCCCATCCATCTTCAGGTGACGTTTATTATTCTCCCAGCTGATTCACACACACACACACACACACACACATACACACACACACACACATACATACACACTGCACCACACCAGACACACGCCTTTGATATTCTGTAACTTAGATATCAAAATAGGTTACTAGCCAGGCAAAGTGGCTCAGGCCTATAATCCCAGCACTTTGGGAGGCCGAGGTGGCTCACGTCTGTAATCCCGGTACTTTGGGAGGCCAAGGCAGGTGGATCACAAGGTCAAGAGATCGAGACCATCCTGGCAAACATGGTAAAACCCCATCTCTACTAAAAATATAAAAATTAGCTGGACATGGTGGCACACGCCTGTAGTCCCAGCTACCCGGGAGAGTGAGGCAGGAGAACTGCTTGAACCCAGGAGGCGGAGGTTGCAGTGAGCCGAGATTGCACCACTGCACTCTAGCTTGGTGACACAGCAAGACTGCATCTCAAAAACAAAAACCAAAACAAAAACAATTAGCCAGGTGTGATGGCGCATGCCTATAATCCCAGCTACTCTGGAGGCTGAGGCAGGAGAATCGCTTGAACCCGGTAGGCGGAGGGCACTTAGCCTGGGCAACAGAGCAAGACTCCATCTCAAAAAAAAAAAAAGAGCAAACAAAGGTGAAGGCATCCTAAGGGACTATGGGACACCATCAAGAGGACCAAGATACACATTATGCAATTCAGCAAAGGAGAAGAGAAAGAGAAACGGACAGAGATTATTTGCAAAAATGGCCAAAAACTATCCCAAATTGGAGAAAGACATGAAACTACAAATCAAAGCAGCTCAATGAACTCTAATAGAATTAACCAAAAAAAGATCCACAGTAAGACACATTATAATCAAACTGACAAGTGACAAAAAGTCTTGAAAGCAGCAGCCAAAAAAAAAAAAAAAAAGGTTGCCTGGGTGTGGGGGATCACGCCTGTAATCCCAGCACTTTGGGAGGCCAAGGGAGGTGGCTCACCTGAGAACAGGAGTTCAAGATCAGCCTAGTCAACATGGCAAAACCCCATCTCTACTAAAAATATAAAAAATTAGCCAGATCAAGTTGTGGCAAGTGCCTGTAATCCCAGCTACTCGGGAGGCTGAGGCAGGAGAATTGCTTGAACCCGGCAGACAGAGATAGCAGTGAGCTGAGATTGCACCACTGCACTCCAGCGTGGGCAACAGAGTGAAACTCTGTCTAAAAAAAAAAAAATAAGGGTTTTTGTCATGTACAAGGATTCCTCAATGAGATTGTTAATTGATTTCTCAGCAGAAACTACGGAGTCGAGAAGGGAGTGGGGTGATAGATTTAGCATGCTGGGGGAAGAAAAACAAACCTGTCAAGTGTGAATTTTACACATGTAAAAAAGTGTCCTTTGGTTCCTATTAAAAACAAACTAAGATCCCAGAAATAACAAGTGCTGGAGACGATATGGAGAAACTGGAACCCTTGTGCACTGTTGCTGGCAATTTAAAATGGTGCAGTTACTATGAACAGTGTGGCAATTCCTCAAAAAATTGAAAACAGAATTATTATACGATGTAGCAGTTCCATATCTTTGTATATAGCTGGCCCTCTGTGTCCAAGGGTTTTGTTGTTGTTGTTCTTGTTTTTTGCCCAGGCTGGAGTGCCGTTGCAGGATCTCAATCTTGGCTCACTGCAACCTCTGCCTCCTGGGTTCTAGAAATTCTTGTGCCTCAGCCTACCGTGTAGCTGGGATTACAGAAGTGTACCACCACGCCAGGCTAATTTGTATTTTTAGTAGAGATGGGGTTTCACCACGTTGGATAGGCTGTCCTGACCTCAGGTGATCCGTCCACCTCAGCCTCCCAAAGTGCTGGGATTACAGGCGTGAGCCACTGTGCCCGGCCTGTATCCATGGGTTCTGCATGTTAATTCCACCAACTGCACGTGGAAATTGTAGTTAGCCCTGTGATGTCTGTGTCTGTTCTGAACATGTGCACACTTTCTTTTCTATCATTATTCCCTAAACAATACAGTATAACAACTATTTACACAGCATTTACATTGTACTGGGTATTATAAGGAATCTAGAGATGATTTAAAGTATACAAGAGGATGTGCACAGATTATATGCAAATACCACCTCATTTTAAATCAAGGACTTGAGTATCTGTGGATTATGGTATCCTCAGTGTGTCCTAGAACCAACCCCCTGTGGATACTGAGGGAAGACTGTGTACACAAAATAACGGAAAGCAGGGTCTTGAAAAGATATTTATACACCATGTTCACAGCGGCATTATTCATGCTAGGAAAAACATGGAAACAGACTGGGCGCAGTGACTCACACCAGTCATCCCAGCGCTCTGGGAGGCCGAGGCGGATGGATCACTTGAGGTCAGGAATTCGAGACCAGCCTGGCCAACATGGTGAAACTGTCTCTACCAAAACAACAACAACAACAACAACAACAATTAGCCCAGCGTGGTGGTGCATGCCTGTAATCCCAGCTACTCGGGAAGCTGAGGCAGGAGAATCGCTTGAACCCAGGAGGTGGAGGTTGCAGTAAGGTGCAGGAGATTGCACCACTGCACTCCAGCCTGGACAACAGAGTGAGAATCTGTCTCCAAACCCCCCGCCCCCACACACACACAATAAGCAAACAATCCGTGTTCATCAATGAATAAATGGATAAGCCAAATATGGCATATACATACAATGGAATATTATTCAGCCTTAAAAAGCAAAAAAAGTTCAGATACTGCAATACGGATGACCCTTAGGGATATTACGCTAGATGTAATAAGCCAGTTACACACAAAAAATACCGTATGATTCCACTTATACAAGGTACTTAGCAAAGTCAAAATCACAGAGACAGAAAGCAAAATGGTGGTCTCCAGGGGAGGGGTGGAGAGCAGATTGGAAGTTATTGTTGAATAGGTACATATTTTTTGTTTTATGAGATGAAAAGAGTTATGGAGATCGATGGCAGTGATGGCTTACAACATTTTAAATATCTTTAATATCACTGGACTGTACACTTAAAAATGGTTGAGGCTGGGTGAGGTGGCTCACGCCTGTGATCCCAGCACTTTGGGAGACCAAGGTGGAAGGATGACTTGAACCCAGAAGTTCCAGAACAGCCTGGGAGACATGGTCAAACTTCATCTCTACAAAAATAAAAAAACCAGCTGGCTATGGTGGCATGTGCCTGTAGTCTCAGCTACGCAGGAGGCTGAGGCAGGAGAATCCCTTGAACCCAGGAGGCAGAGGTTGCAGTGAGCCGAGATTGTGCCACTGCACTCCAGCCTGGGTGACAGATCGAGGCTCCGTCTCAACAACAACAAAAAGGTTTGGCTCCTATCCTGCCTTCTCTGGAAAGCCATTCCTCATCATCTTACAAAGTACTGTAACCTTGCAATACATTGCAGGAGATTGTTAGTTATTCGTTATAAGCTATACATGGCCTTGTGATGTTTCTGTGATTCTCGCCTTACCCTTGTTATGTAAATCCAGGAGTCACTCTTGACTCCAGTTCCATCCAATCCATTTACTTCAGTTTTATGCCCTTGCAGGATTTCCTGGGAAAAAAAAAATTAGAGGAATTGGTTTTGAAATAAACTTAATTTTTAAATTTTATGATAAGACACAGATACGGGGAAAAAAAAAAAAAAGAGAACACACACACAAAAAACATGAGAACTGGCCAGGCCGTGGTGGCTCACACCTGTAATCCCAGCACTTTGGGAGGCTGAGGTGCGCACATCACCTGATGTCAGGAGTTCAAGACCAGCCTGGCCAACATGGCAAAACTCCGTCTCTACTACAAATACAGAAATTAGCTGGGCTTGGTTGCAGGCACCTGTAATCCCAGCTACTCAGGAGGCTGAGGCAGGAGAATCACTTGAACCTGGGAGGTGGAGGTTGCAGTGAGCCGAGATACGGTCACTGCACTCCAGCCTGGGCAACAGAGCAAGTCCATCTCAAAAAACCAAAAAATGAAACAAACAAAAAAAACCATGAACTACAAGGAGATAATTATTATTATTACTATTATCATTGTTATTATTATTATTTTTTAGAGATATGGTCTCACTCTGTCACCTCCAGCTGTAGTGCAGTGGCACAATCATAGCTCATCTGCAGCCTTGAACTCCTGAACTCGTGTCAGTGTTAGGATTACAGGCATGAGCCCCTGCACCTGGTCTAAGGAGAGAATTATAAATAAAATGTGTTGATTATAATTCATAGCTTTATGAATTATAAGGAGAGCTTATAATTGTAACTACCACTGAAGGTCAAGAAGTAGACTGGCTGTGGTGGCCTATACCTAGAATCCCAGCACTTTGGGAGGCTGAGGTGGGAGGATTGCTTGAGGCCAGGAGTTCGAGACCAGCCTGAGCAACACAGCAGGACACTGCCTCTACAAAAAAAAAATGCCAACAATTAGCTGGGTATGGTGGCATGCAGCTGTAGTTCCAGCTACTTGGGAGGCTGAGGTGGGAGGATCGCTTGAGCCCAGGAGTTTGAGGCTGCAGTGAGCTATGATGGTGCCACTGCATTCCAGCCTGGGCAACAGAACATGACTGTATCTCCAAAAAAGAAAAAGAAAAGAACTCTTTTCCAGCCATTAGAGAAACTTCCCTTTTGTCCTGTCTCAAATACAATGACCTTCCTCCTGCTTCAAGTACCCACAATTCTGACTTCGCAGAAACCACTTCTTTGGCTTCTTTACAGTTTTATTCCTATCCCTTACCATGATAGTTTTCTCTTGCACTTCTGTTGACTTTAACATGTCTTTTAAGACTCTTTGGCCAGGCACAGTGGCTTACGCCTGTAATCCTAGAACTTCGGGAGGCCGAGGCGGGCTAATTACCTGAGGCCAGGAGTTCAAGACCAGCCTGGCCAACATGGTGAAACCTCGTCTCTACAAAAATACAAAAATTAGCTAGGCAGGTGCCTGTAATCCCAGCTACTCAGGAGGCTGAGACGGGACAATTGCTTGAACCTGGGAGGTGGAGGGTGCAGTAAGCCGAGACTGGGCCATTGCCCTCCAATTGCCCTGCAGCCTAGGAGACAAAGCAAGACTCCAGCTCAAAAAAAAAAAAAAAAAAAAAAAAAAGACTCTTTATCTAGAGGATCACCCTCAATTCCTTTCTTTTTACTTTATTTTATTTTACTATTTTTTGTAGAGACAGGATCTTGCTATGTTGCCCAGACTGGTCTTGAACCCCCGACCTCAAGCGATCCTTCTGCTTCAGCCTCATTCCTTTTTATTCTTACAGTTTCATGACGAAGAGCCCAAAAGTTTGACCTGTAGAATTCTGCAGTCCTGGATTTTGCTGATGGTTTACTTTCATTGCAGTTCAACTTGTTCTCCATCTTCTGTTTTTCCAGCAAGTGAGCAGCTGGATCTGTAAGCTCGGTCAGATCCACATTTGATCCCTTTGGCTACACTATAGGTGGTACTGTGATCTTTCCTCAGGAGGGACGTAATGCGTCTTTGTGACTTACGCTACAAGATAAAGTTCGTATAGGGCAGGCAAGATCAATGTTTAGATTCTTTCCCATTTTTTGCCTATTTTCTTTTTCTTTTTTTTTTTTTTGAGACGGAGTCTTGCTCTGTTGCCCAGGCTGGAGTGCAATGGCTGGATCTCGGCTCACTGCAAGCTCTGCCTCCTGGGTTCATGCCATTCTCCTGCCTCAGCCTCCCGAGTAGCTGGGACTACAGGCGCCCGCCACCTTGCCCGGCTAGTTTTTTGTATTTTTTTTAGTAGAGACGTGGTTTCACCGTGTTAGCCAGGATGGTCTCGATCTCCTGACCTCTTGATCCGCCCGTCTCTCTTTCATTGCACTTCAACTTGTCGCCTTCGCTTTTTCCAGCAAGTGAGCAGCTGATTCTGTGGAAGCCTGGCTGATCCACATTTGATCCCTTTGGCTACACTAGGTGGTACGATCTTTCCTCAGGAGGGACGTAATGCTGTGCCTTTGTGACGTACGCCATAAAATAAAGTTCGTATAGGGCAGGCAAGATCAATGTTTAGATTCTTTCCCATTTTTTGCCTATTTTCTTTTTTTTTTTTTTTTTTTTTTGAGACGGAGTCTTGCTCTGTTGCCCAGGCTGGAGTGCACTGTGGCTGGATCTCCGCTCCTCACCGTGCTCTGCCTCCTGGGTTCATGCCATTCTCCTGCCTCAGCCTCCCGAGTAGCTGGGACTACAGGCGCCCGCCACCTCGCCGCTAGCTTTTGTATTTTTTTTAGTAGAGACGGTTTCACCCGTGGTTAGCTGTGATGTCTGACCTCCTGACCTCTCTGATCCGCCCGTCTCGGCCTCCCAAAGTGCTGGGATTACAGGCTTGAGCCACTGCGCCCGGCCTGCCTATTTTCAAGGTGGGCAATTGGCTTCTCTTTTTTGAGACAGGGTCTTACTCTTGTTGCCCAGGTTGGAGTGGTACAGTGTTGCAATCACAGCTCACTGCAGCCTTTACCTGACCAGTTGATCCTCCCACTTCAGCCTCCCAAGTAGCTGTGACTACAGGCATGCGCCACCACGCTGGCTAATTTTTTGCATTTTTAGTGAGGACAGGTCACCATATTGCTCAGGCTAGCCCCGGCACCCTGGACTCCAGCAATCTGCCCGCCTTGGCCTCCTAAAGTACTAGGATTACAGGCGTGAGCCATGGTGCCTGGCCACAAATTGGCTTCAATCATCCTCCAAAGGTGATTGGTTAGTTTTGTTTGTTCATTTGAAGTCTCATTATTAAAATGACTAATGGATTCAATCCATGCAAGTATTGTTCCTAGTGCAGCTCAAATTGTCCTAGGGCTACTGGGGGCCTCTTCAAAGGCAGCTCTGGAGTCCTTTGACATAGCCATAGACATCTTCGAGAGCTTCTTTGTGACCTGGTATGGCAAGACTGCCAGTCTCATCATGTACTTTTTTTTTTTTTTTTTTGAGACTGAGTCTCACTTTGTCACCCAGGCTGGAGTGCAGTGGTGTGATCTCGGCTCACTGCAATCTGTCTCCTGGGATCAAATGATTCTCCTGCCTCAGGCCTTCCTAGTACTCTGGGTTTAAAGGCATGCGCCACCACGCCCAGCTAATTTTTGTATTTTTAGTAGAGACGGAAATTCACCATACTGGCCAGGCTGGTCTTGAACTCCTGGCCTCAAGCGATACACCTGCCTCAGCCTCCCAAAGTGTTGGGATTACAGGTGTGAGCCACCGCGCCCGGCCAACCTTATGCCTTTTTACAGCTGAATAAGAGTCCATTGTGTGGATCCTGCATTTTGTTTATCCATTCATCTGTGGATGCACATTCAGCTTGTTTCCAATGTGTTTGGCTATTATGGCAGATAATGTTGCTGCGGACACAGGCATGCAAGTATCTGAGTCCCTGCTTTCTGATCTCCTGAGTATGTATCTAGGGGTGGAATGACTGAATTTTTAGTAATTGTGTGTTTAGCTTTTTGAGGAACTGCCAAACTGTTTTCCACAGTAGCTGCACCATTTTATATTCCTACCAGCAATGCACAATGTGGTTCCCATTTCTCCACACCCTTGCCAAGCCTTGTTATTTTTCATTTTCTTTTGTTTGTTTTTAATATCAGCCATCCAAATGATGAAGGGCATGTCACTGTGGTTTTGATCGCAGCTCCCAAATGATTGATGATATTCAGTATCTTTTCATGCACATTTCAACCAATGTATATCTTCTTTGAGAAATGTTCACTAAGTCCCTTGCCTATTTTTTTACATTTTTAATTTAATTTTTTTAGTGACTAAGACCCACACACAGCCTCAGAGATCCTGAGAACATGTGCCCCTACCCTTGCCTTTTTTTCTTTTTTTTGAGATGGAGTTTTGTTCTTATTGCCCAGGTTGGAGGCAATAGCAATAATCTTGGCTCACTGCAACCTCCCTCCTGGGTTCAAGTACTCCTCTTTGCCTCAGCCTCCAGAGTAGCTGGGATTACAGGCACCTGCCACCATGCCTGGCTAATTTTTTCTATTTTGGGTAGAGATGTGGTTTCACCATGTTGGCCAAGCTGGTCTCGAACTCCTGACCTCAGGTGATCCACTTGCCTCAGCCTCTTAAAGTGCTGGGATTACAGGTGAGCTGCACTGCACCTCGTAAGATTTTTAAATTGATATTTCGTTGTTTTTTAGTCACAGGAATTTTAATGTATTCTGGTTATTAATCTCAGTATGTACATTGCAAATATTTACTTCCAATCTGGAGGGTTGTATTTTTACTCTTTGACAGTGTACTTTGATTAGTTCTCCTCACTTTTTTATTTTTTGTGAGACAGGGTCTCACTTGTCCGCCAGGCTGGAAGCGCCCAGGACCTAGGGAGAGAGGCAGGTGGGTCGGTCTTGCCTGCAGCGTAGAGAGATGAGGCCAGGCTACCTGGAGCATGGCACTCTTTGGTGTCTGGTATCAAACACAGCTTCCTTGTCTTCCTGGGAGGCACATGGCAGGAGATGTACAACCATCATCACAACTAGCCTAACCGTACAGTGTGGGGTGGGAGGGAGAGACAGGAAGAAGTCAGGCTGGGGGACAGAAGTGAGACACAGGGCAGGGGACTGGCTCCCCAAGACTCACCCAGCAAGTCCAGCTCACTGGTGGCATCCATGCTATTGAGAGTGATGGCCCCAAAGTTGAGTTCTGGGGGTGGGAGGAAGCGGCTGGGCTGGAGGACACGGACGAGTGGCCTCCCTCTCCCAACCAGGTTGCCCAGCCCCTCCCCCTGGAAAGAGGATCAGGAAGAGGATCAGGGTGGGGTGGGAGCTGGGGGAGGGATCTTTGCACAGTCCCAGGAGGGAGGCAGGAACCCTGAATCTCTCAGTACCAGGCACCCCTGCCATGGGTGACCCCTGGCCTACATGACCTCAGGGCCCATAGGCAATGAATAAAGGTTTCACCGGGAGCCACAGGCCCCTGCCCTGGTTTCAGGTGGGTGTTTGCAGGCTCTGGCTAGTGCTAAGGGTGACTCTCCCTGGGGAGGAGGGGCAGGACATGTCACCTACTTGGAGCAGCTCTCAGTCCACACCCAGGGGATTGCCTACAATGGACCCACTGCAGGACAGATTCATGGTGACCAGGGTCTGGCAGGCAGCCCTGACACACACACACACACACACACACACACAGAGAGAGAGAGAGAGAGAGAACAAGACTGGTTGCCAGAGCAATCCGCCTGTAGTCTGCCTTTTTCCTGGTCTAGTCGCCTTGGGTGCAGAACACTTGTCCCCAGGTGTACCCTAACACTTGTCCCCAAGCACCGAGTCGCCCTAGGTGCAGAACACTTGTCCCCAGGTGTACACTAACACTTGTCCCCAAGCACTGAGTCGCCCTGGGTGTAGAACACTTGTCTCTTGACATGTCCCCATATGTCAGGCTGAGGGCAGCAGGCTGGACCCACCAGGAGCCTTGCTGGAGAGCTCTGGCCCTGCTCAGACACATTCACTGGCTTGGTCGTCCCCATCTTAGCGAGAGCTGGGGCTCCATGCAGGGTCCCCTGTTTCGCAGGTGACATGGCTTTCTGTCCCACTCAGCCCTTCCCAATGCCTAAAGCTATGCAGCAGCCACCCCCACCAGGCCCTCGGGACACTGCAGCCTAACCCATCTCCCCAGGGACAGGACATCGATCCGCTTCCGCACCTCCAGCAGCCGCTCAGAGTCTCAGGTCAGCACCACAGCGTGGCTGTGGGAAGCCAGGGGCAGGAGGGTCAGGGCAGTCGGGGTCCTCCCCTGTGGCAGGGCTCTTGCACCTCACCCGGCTCACCTCAGAATCCAGTGTCTCCAGTGGATGCGCTGGGCCCTCTGCAGGTGTATGTACCCGGGGAAGATGATGTCACGTTCCCTGTGGGCGAGGAGGAGCAGGGAGTCAGGTAGAGGCTCAGGCAAGGCCTGCCTGTGACACTGGGACTCTGCAGGCCTGGGTCACCCCTGGAAAAAGTGTCATCCTGCAGCACTCCACCTGAATGAGGGATCCAGTGATCTCCCAGGAGAAATCGGTCTTAAGGGAAAAAGAGGCCGGATGTGGGGCCGTGTGAACCAAGGACTGGGTCTGAGCTGTGGGGCCTCGGGGGTGAGGCTTTGCCCGGAACACCCGAAGCCTGAGCCTCTGTCACTCAGCATCTCCGAGCGGGGCCGGAACAGGGGAGGAGGCCCGCGTTGGGTATGACTTGGCCATGGGAGGTTTCGTGTGAGGACCCCAGAAATACCTGGGGCTCATTCAAGGGCTGCTCTGAGCAGCTGAGACGCCCTGCTCCTCATTCAAGTAGGTAGGGCAGAGGCAGAGGTGCTGTGAGTGATGGTCCTGTTCTCTTATTGTTTTGTTTTTGTTTTTAGAGACAGGGTCTCATTCTGTTGCCCAGGCTGGAGTGCAGTGGCATGATCATAGCCCACTGCTGCCTCAATCTCCTGGGCTCAAGCCATCCTCCTGGCTCAGCCTCCTGAGTAGCTGGGACTACAGGGACATGCCACCATGTCCAGCTAATTTTTTAATTTTTTGTAAAAATGGGGTCTTGCTATGTTGCCCAGGGTGGTCTGAAACTCCTGAGTTCAAGCAATCCTCCTGCCTTGGCCCCTCAAAGAGCTGGGATTACAAATTTGAGCCACCACACCTGGCCTGTTTTTTTTTGTTGTTGTTGTTTTTGAGATGGAGTTTCACTCCTGTTGCCAAGGCTGGAGTGCAATGGTGCGATCTTGGCTCACTGTAACCACCTCCTGGGTTCAAACGATTCTCCTGCCTCAGCCTCCCAAGTAGCTGGGATTACAGGCACCTGCCACCACATCCAGCTAACTTTCTGTATTTGCAGTAGAGACGGGGTTTCACAATGTTGGCCAGACTGGTCTCAAACTCCTGACTTCAGGTCATCCACCCGCCTTGGTCTCCCAAAGTGCTGGGTTTACAGGCATGAGCCACTGTGCCTGGTCTGTTGTTGTTTTAAATAAACTAGCTTTACTGAGACATCATTCACAATTAATTCACCCATTTAAAGTTTACATTTTTGTGTACAGCCATCACCAAAACCAATTTTAGAACATTTTCATCACCCCATAGAGAAATTCTGTACTCAAGGTCAGGTACGGTGGCTCAAGTCTATAATCCCAGCACTTTGGGAGGCCAAGAGGGAAGGATCGCTTGAGGCCGGGAGTTTGAGACCAGCCTGGGTCACATAGTGAGACCCTGTTTCTACAAAAAATTTAAAAAATTTGTTGGGTGTGGTGCACACCTGTGGTTCTAGCTATTCAGAAAGCTGAGGTGGGAGGATCACTTGAGTCCAGGAGTTTGAGCCTGCAGTGAGCTGTTATCGAGCCACTATACTCCAGCCTAGGTGACAGAGAAAGACCTCATCTCTAAAGACAATTTAAAAAGTTAAAAATTTTAAAACTAGGCCGGGTGCAGTGGCTTATGCCTGTAATCCTAGCACTTTGGCAGGCCGAGGCAGGTGGATCACCTGAGCTCAGGAGTTGGAGACCAGCCTGGCCAACATGGCAAAACCCATCTCTACTGAAAAAAATACAAAAATTAGCTGCATGTTGTGGCACATACCTGTAATCCCAGCTACTTGGGAGGCTGAGGCACTGGATGGAATTGCTTGAACCTGGAAAGCAGAGTTTGCAGTTAGCCGAGATCATGCCACTGGACTCCAGGCTAGGTGACAGAGCAAGACCCTGTCTCAAAAAAAAAAAAAAAAAAAAAAATTAAAGAAACCCTGAACTCAGTAGCAGACACTCCCGGTTCCTCCTAGCAGCCCCACTCCACCTCCAGGGTGAAATTCGTGTGCCCTTGTTTCCCCCAGGTCTGTGAAACAGGGGTCATGGGGAGTTGAGGAAGAGGAGGGGTCTCTGATAACCCAGGGAGACTCCTCAGCAGCTCCTCCTCCAGGTCTGCAAGCAACAAATCCAGTCCCAAAGACACCAGGTGAAAGCCTGGGATGAGGCCAGCAGGAGGCAGCCTTTGGCTCTGTCTTTTGCCAGATGGGCTGGGTGGGGGAGCGGAGCATGGGCTGGGAGACATGGGGCACAGGCAGGGTGGGGGGGTGACTGGCTGCTTCAGGCACAGCCAAGCTAGTGCCTTAGCTTCCTGCCCTTAAATCCACAAAGGGTGAGTTTTCTTTCTGTTTATTTTTGAGACGAGAGTCTCGCTCTGTCGCCCAGGCTGGAGTTCAGTGGCGCGATCTCGGCTCACTGCAACCTCCGCCTCCTGGGTTCAAGCAGTTGGTCCTGCCTCAGCCTCCCGAGTAGCTGGGATTACAGGCGCCCACTGCCACACCTGCCTAATTTTTATATTTTAGTAGAGATAGAGTTTCACCATGTTGGTCAGGCTGGTCTCAAACTCCTGACCTTACGTGACCCACCCACTTCGGCCTCCTAAAGTACTGGGATTACAGGCATGAACCCCCGCACCCAGCCCCATGAAGGGTGAGCTTTCCCTGTCGGCTGAGCTAGACTGCCATGGGAGTATTGGGGTCTGCAGGAAATGCCCCACTCTTAGCTGCTCTGCCTCGACCCTGGAATTCTGGGATGCCCCTGTCCCCCAGGGCCTGGCACCCCTACCCTGTTCACCCCTGCCACCTAGGTCTGCTCTTCAGGTTGCCATCACACCTCTCTCTGCCCCCTGGGCATCCCTCGGGGACTCACACCTCTGCCTGATCCACCACAGTCCTGATGAGCTTCCAGAGGAGGCCTGAGAGTGTGAAGCAGGTCTGCACATCTACAACCTGAGGTCCGTGACCACCTGTGCAAGGAGGAGGTGGTGCTCAGGGAGGCCGACGTGTTGCTTCCCTGGGGAGCCAGGACCACTGCTGAGCTGACTGCCCCCTGGGCTCCCCAAGGTTGGGACAGCACAGAGCACGGGGGGCGGAGGGCTAGAGGTACCTGGTTGTTCCAGCTCCGTCCCGTGTGTGGCTTCCCTGCGGTTTCACCAATGAGCTCCTGGAGGTGAAGGGAGGCCAAGGGTCACGGTCTATATCCCAAGGGGTCAGCCCAGGCAAGGTAGGGTTCCCCATCAACTCTGCCAACCTCCCTCCCTACCCCAGGGCCCCAGGTCCTGCCCAAATCTCTCGCCATCTTTGTTGAGGCCTTTTGTTCTTTTTTTTTTTTTTTTTTTTTGTACTTACGGGACCACGTTATTATTGCCCAGTCAGGTCTCAAACTCCTGGCCTCAAGCGATCCTCCCACCTCAGCCTCCCAAAGTGCTAGGATTATAGGCATGAGCCACTGCGCCTGGCCCATGTCCTGGGGTCTCACCTCCTGTCTGCCAATGGCGAAGCAAACAGAATGATGGCGCTAATGTTCAACGTGGCCCCAGGCAAGGTGGTGAGGGGAGGCCAGGAAAGTGGTGGGGCTGTATTGCGGGATCTGGCCAGCAGCCTGCAATGCAACGGGGCTCTCTTTGTTCCCAGGTGGATCGACAGGTCGAGAAATAATAGACACACACAAGATAGTGAAAGCTGGGTCCAGGGGGGTCACCACTTCTGGTCCCATAGTGCCGCCAATGCACTGGATATACCAGCATTTATTATTAAGTTTAGTGAGGGCAGAAGTAGGTTAGTGAGGGATTTAGGGTCATTTGATTATGAGGTGAGATGGTGACATGGGGATGAAGTAATTCTTTAACATAACATCTGTATGTAGAAGTACAGTATATAGATAAGATTTACAATGTAGTGTGTGCATCAGTAATTTCTAACAGAGCCTTAAAACAGAAACATAGTCTTTCCATAACCTATGATTAGCAAGATATTAATCAGCAGTAACAGTTGCAGCAAAAATTGGTTACAAACAATCCATAGAAAAAGGACGTGAAGCTAGACAACCCATTAGACCAGAAATTCTCAGAAGGGAGTATGCCTTAACCCTAAAGAGGCCTAGAAGAGCCGTGGCAAGATGAGGGCGTTTATAGTCCGATCTTATCCATATGGACAGGTGCACCCCATGCGTCCATTTATAGGCTCTCAACAAGGGTCGCATTCCATTCCCAGAGCTATGAACATCTGCTTTTCTGGGATAGGAATCTTGGTGATGTGAAATCTCTCTGACTGCACATCCATTCATAGGCTCTCTGCAGGGGGAAGCACATCACATGCTGTTGGCTCATTCTGGTGGTCCAACCTGGCATTGTCTTTACACAATCCTGTATGCAATTTTCTATTTACAATAATCAGGAGCATTTCATCTTTTATTCCATAGCAATAGTTTCAGGGGGTCTCCCTACAGGGCTGCAGTGGTCGTACCTTCAGGTGGTGCTTGTTGGCTGTGTAGATGTCAGCATCAATGGGGCTGAGTTTGAAGGTGCCCTGGTCCCACTCCTCAGCCACCTAGAGCAGGTAGCAGCAATGCCAGGGGTCAAGTCCAGGTAGGCAGGCATCAGTGGCAGAGGCCTGCCCGGTCCCCACCCCTATCCTGATGACTGACTGTCCCTGTCCAGGAGCTGAGTCCTGGAAGCGCACCTTGGGAGGGGCACATCTCCAGGCCCCAGCACCTTTACTCATGAGCCATGTGGGCCACAGCGTCATTAAAGGGCGGGCGGCCATCAAGGCACACAGTTAAAGCAGCACTTGAGTATATGATTAGTTCAATGTGGAAACCACAGACAGGCAACACTGGCCTGCTGGTGCTCAGGGTTTGGGTGGGAGCCTGGGGCCACAGGGAGGGACTCCGGTGGGGCATGGGCCAGAAGTACCTTGTGTCTAGGCCATGCAGAATTTATCTGGTCCATCTCGGCGCGGTGAGGAGCCCTGCGCTACTCCAGGCCCCTGCTGTAGCCTCTGCTGCCTTGAACATCCACCTCCCACAGGTGCCGGTCGTATACAGTGATGCGTGGAACTACTCCCATGACAGGATCCACTGTGCCCACTCTGTGAGAGGCAGGAACAATTAGTCTCCGCCTCCTCCCAGAACATTTCCACCTCTTACCCAGTCTCAGGAAACTTACCTGCGTCAGTGGCAGCTGAGCATGCGGATCATTCTAACTGGGAAGACAGGGACTCAGACCTTCCCAGAGTCACCCTGGGAGTGAGCATGGGAGGCAGTGGCTGAACACCAAGGGCAGGCCAGGCTGGAGTGCAGTGGCGGCCTACGGCTCTCTGCAACCTCCGCCTCCTGGGTTCAAAGGGAATTCTTCTGTCTCAGCCTCAGAGCAGCTGGATTACACATGCACCACCACACCTGGGTAATTTTTTGGATCATTGGTAGACCAGGGTTTCCATGCCCCAGGCCAGGCTGGTCTTGAATTCCTGACCTCAGGTGATCCTCCACCCGGCCTCTGCAAGTGTTGGTATTACAGGCATGAGTGACTGAATTACTGTGGGCTTGAGTTGCAGGGTCTTTCCCACCCATGGCATCACCCCAAGGAGATGGTGATGGCAGGAACTCAGGCACCCCTAGGACCAGAGCCGAGCTTCTGGAACTTTTCCTGCCACTGACCAAGGTGCCAGGGTGCCATCTAGTGATGACACCTTCTGGGTAGGCATCAATGCAACTCCACTATGCAGAAACGCAGGGGCACAGGGAGGCATGCAGCCTTCCCACCCCACCTGGGGTGGGAGAGCCAGGGCTGCAGCCCAGCAGTCTGAAGTCAGAACCCATGTGCTCTTCACCACTTTGTTTTCACAGGGCCTCTGCTCTTGTCCGATTGTCTGAACTTCTGCTGCGGGGCAGGCAAGAGGCACTGACGGTCTCCACCAGAAGCCTAGAAGGTGTGCCCGCAACTCTCTCCCTCACAGCCGGGTAGACTAAGATCCCAATTCCTACTGCTCCCCTTGGCTCTGAAGAGAGCACCTGACACCCCCATTGTCCCTGGCCTTCTAGGAAGTCACTGGGTGACCTTACTCCCAGGAGGGCGAGGGGCAGAGATGTTATATCATCCACACATTTTGTTCTTTTTTTTTTGAGACTGAGTCTCACTCTGCCACCCAGGCTGGAGTGCGGTGGCGGCGATCTTCAGCTCCACTGCAACGTCCGCCTCCGGGATCAAGCCGATTCTCCTGCCTCAGCCTCCCAATAGCTGGAATTACAGGCACGTGCCACCACACCCAACACTGTATCTTTATGAGACAGGGTTTCACCATGTTGGCCAGGCTGGTCTTGAATTCCTGACCTCAGGTGATCCACCTGCCTTGGCCACCCAAAGTGCTGAGATTACAGGCGTGAAAGCCACCCACCTGACCCCTTGCTGGCCCATTTTCAATATATTACAGGATTGTGGTAACCCTGTGTTGACCTAGTGGATTGGCACCATTTTTTCCAACAGCACGTGCTCACTTGGTGTCTTTGTGTCACATTTCGGTAATTCTTTTATTTGTATTTCAAACTTTGTTATTATATTTTTCAGACAGAATCTTACTCCTGCCCAGGCATGAGTGCAGTGGTTCAACCACAACACTGCAGCCTCGACCTCCTGGGCTCAAGTCATCCTCTTGCCTCAGCCTTCTGAGTAGCTGGCTTGTAGGCAGGCTTGTGCCACCATTCCTGCTAATTTTTAATTTTTTTGTAGAAACAGGGTCTCACTATGTTGCCCAGACTGGTCTCAGACTCCTGGGTTTCGAGCAAATGTTCCGCCTCAGCCTCCCAAATTGCTGGGATTACAGGCGTGAGCCACATGGCAGCACCCTGGTATTATTATTAATATTATTATTATTTGTTTTTTTTTTTTTGAGACAGTTTCGCTCTCTGTCTCCCAGGCTGGGTCACAGTGGCATGATCTCAGCTCGAGTACAACCTCTGCCTCCTGGGTTGTTCTTTCCTCCCTCCTCCTCCGTTTCTTTTTTCCTCCTCCACCTCCTCACAGGCATGAGCCTGCCCCCAGCCCAGCCTGCTGTTTCTTTCTCCTCCTCCTCCATTTCTTTTCCTCTCCCCCTCCTCCTTACCCTCCTCTCCCACCCTCTTCTCTCCTCCTTCCTTCTTCTTCCCCTCAGCAACTTTACTCTCCTCCTCCTCCTCCCCCTGCTCCTCCTGCTCCTCCTCCTCTGCCTCCCAAATTGCTGGGATTACAGGTGTGAGCCACCACACAACTTTAGCTGTTTCTTCTTTTTTTTTCTTTTCCTCCCTCCTTCTTCTTCATTTTATTTTTATTTTTATTTTTAGAGTCTAAGCTCTGTCACTCAGGCTGAAGTGCAGTGGCACAATTTCAGCTCATTGCAACCTCTGCCTCCTGGGTTCAAGCAATTCTGCCTCAGCCTCCAAAGTATGGCTGGGATTACGGGGCATCTGCCGCAAACCAGCCAATTTTGTATTTTTAGTAGAGATGGGGTTTCACCATGTTGGCCAGGCTGGTCTCAAACTTCCGACCTTGTGATGGAAGCCACGGTCCAGCCTCCCCATGAAAGTGTTGAGATTACAGGTGTGAGCCTGCGCCAGTCCACCTGGCCCATTTCTTTTTATCTCTTTCTTTTAGAGACAGAGTTTTGCTCTTGTGCCCAAGGCTGCTTGGAGTGCAATGGCGCAATCTTGGTTCACTGCAACCTCCACCTCCTGAGTTTAAGCGGTTATTCTCCTGCCTCAGCCTCCAGAGTGATGGCTAGGGATTACAAACTCTCCACCACCACATGCGCAACTAATTTTTGTATTTTTAGTAGAGATGGGGTTTCACCATGTTGGCCAGTCTGTTCCTGAATTCCCAGCCTCAGGTGATCTGCTTGCCTCAGCCTCCCAAAGTGCTGAGCTTACAGGCGTGAGCACGCTCCCAGCCCCTTGCCTGGCCCATTTTTTTTTAAACATATTAAAGCATTGGCAGCACTGTGTTGAGCTAGTGGCTCCCCAGCCAGCTCCACTCGTTTGTCACAGCTCCTCAGGACTCCCGTTGACACACAGAGAACAGCCACCCACAGTGGACTGCTGTTCTGTTTGCACCCATATGAAATTTCTTGTGCTTACAGAATGCCACTTCTGCAAACTTGTCAAGTAGAGGGAAGTGGCTCGTGGATATACACCCTTGCTCATCCTCTTTGAAAAGGTAACCTAGCTCTGAATTCTTTTTTTCTTTGAGACAGAGTTTCACTCTTCGCCCAGGCTGAACTGCAGTGGCACAATCTTGACTCACTGCTACCTCCCCTTCCCAGGTTCAAGCAGTTCGCCTGCATCAGCCTCCCAAGTAGCTTGGATTACAGGTGCTTATCACCACATCCAGCTAATTTTTTTTTTTTTTTTTTTTTTTTTTTGAGACAGTCTGGCATCTGTTACCCAGGCTGGAGTGCAGTAGTGGTGGCGATCTTGGCTCACTGCAAGCTCCGCCTCCCAGGTTCACACCATTCTCCTACCTCAGCCTCCTGAGCAGCTGGGACTACAGGCACCGCCACCACGCCAGGCTAATTTTTTGTATTTTTAATAGAGATGGAGTTTCACTGTGTTGCAGGATGGTCTCAATATCTGACCGTGATGTCTACCCTCCCTCCCTAAAAATTATGGATTACAGGCGTGAGCCACCATGCCCGGCCCTAAATTTCCATTTTTATTAGAGATAAGGTTTCACCATGTTGGTCAGGCTAGTCTTGAACTTTTGACCTCAACAAGTGATCCACTGCTGGCCTCCCAAAGTGCTGGGATTACAGGCATGAGCCACTGTGCCTGGCCCGGTTCTGAACCCCAACAGAAACTATCGAGGAGTCTAGGTCAGCACTCACAGAACCTCTGCAGTGCCTGGGCATGGTGACTCAGGAGGGTGAGGCAGGAGAATTGCTGGAACACAGGAGATAGAGGAGTTACAGTGAGCCGACCTTCGCACCACTGCTCTCCAAGCTGGGTGACAGAGCAGATTTAACTGGAAAGAAAAAACACTTTCACTTTTAGACTGGCATGGCAGTGCATGTCTGTGGTCCCAGCTGTGTGGGAGGCTGAGTGGGGAGGATCGCTTATTGCCCAGGAGTCGAGGTGGCATAGGCTGAGCACAGTTGCACCACTGCACTCCAGCCTGGGCAGCAGAAGCCGAGACCCGAATCTGAAAAAAACAATGAAACAAATGTTGTGAATGGAAATGTGGTGGTGGCAAGGAGTGAAGCTCTCAGACAATAAACATATCCTGGATTGGAGAGTCGGGGACAGGCTCTCTTAGAAGAAGCCTTTATGCGAGTTGAGTCAACCCGGGAGGGATGGGGGAAGCTGTAGAGGAACAGTCAATACTTAGAGCTCGGGACACCCACCAAGAGCCTCCACAGTACAGATTGTATTTATTTTTTTAAAAAGAGAGACGGAGTCTCACTCTCTTGAGCTGGAGTGCAGTGGTGTTATCTCAGCTCCACTGCAACCTCTGCCTCCTGTCCCGCCTGAGGGTGATTCTCCTGCCTCAGCCTTTCAAGTAGCTGGGATTACAGGCATCCATCACCCACGCTGCGGCTAATTTTTGTATT